CTGTCGACGAAAATGACCTTCTGCACATCACAGCTCTGGGTGCTGGTAATGAAGTTGGGAGATCTTGTCTAGTGATCCAGTACAAGGGCAAGACAGTAATGGTACTAAAGATTTCCATCACACAATACCAACTGAAAGAAAGTTGGATACGAAAGAATATAGTCTTTATCTGTATAATATTTTCCCATGTAAAAGAAAAAAGAATAAATAAAGTTATATTTTTGCAATCTCCATTAGCTTGATGCGGGTGTCCACCCTGCTTATACTGGACTTGCTGCTCTGCCGTTTTATGATGAAATTGATCCTGCAACAGTTGACGTTTTGCTTATTAGTCAGTATGTTTCATGTCGCTAGTCTATCAGCATTCAGTGGTTCATTTGGTGTAAAAACATTGATTCCCTGAAAATTCTTCGCATCAAATCATTTCTTTCATTGCCTTAAAAAATTATTCTTTTTCCCCCGTTTGTTTTGTTAATTAAAATTTTTGCATAGCTTTCATTTGGATCATGCCGCCTCGTTACCATATTTTTTGGAAAAGGTCGGTCTATCTTTTCATGCACACAGTCCATCATTCTTGGTATTAATCGGATTTAATGAACGTCGAATTTTCCTTAAATTTCGTAGACAACGTTTCAAGGGCGTGTGTTTATGACACATCCGACGAAAGCTATCTACAAATGGCTGTTATCCGATTATGTGAGAGTCAGGTAGGTCTCAAATGATTACCTTTGAGAGCTTGCCTATCACAGCAATTACTGATCTCTGGAAAAAATAGCAATGTTGCGTTAGACGAGTCGCTTTATGACGAGCAAGATCTTTTGCGCAGCTATGATAAGATCGAGGCAGTGGACTATCACCAGGAAGTTGAAGTTGAGGGTATAAAGTTTACGAGCTATAATGCTGGTCATGTTCTAGGAGCGGCCATGTTCTTGATCGAAATTGCCGGGGTGAAGGTATTCAATAATTCAATTACATTAAAGAAATACATGGTGCGATGCATTTTCTAAACAAGGGATGCTGATTATCAGATTTTGTATACTGGTGATTATTCGAGAGAAGAGGATCGACACTTGATGGCAGCTGAGTTGCCACCTGTTCAGGCCGATGTATTGATCACTGAATCTACTTATGGCGTTCAGAGTCACGAACCCCGATTGGAAAAGGAGGCAAGATTTACTGGTGAGTTTTCTTTTTGGTTTTCAAGAAACGACTGAAATCTTGAGTTGAGGTAGTAATCGTGTGTTTCATCCAGGCTTGGTTCATAAGATAGTACAACGTGGCGGTCGTTGTCTTATTCCTGTGTTTGCTTTGGGTCGTGCCCAAGAATTGCTCTTGATTCTTGATGAATATTGGGAGGCTCATCCTGAGTTAGAGTCGGTGCCCATCTATTATGCCTCATCCTTGGCAAAAAAATGTATGGCGGTCTATCAGACGTACATTAACATGATGAATGCCAAAATCCGCAAGCAGTTTGCCATATCGAATCCTTTTGTTTTCAAACACATTTCAAATTTAAAGAATATGGACAATTTCGATGATGTGGGACCTTGTGTGATGATGGCTAGTCCTGGTATGTTGCAGGTATGATGAATGTCGAATGAATTTTTTTTCTTTTTCCTTTTTTTTTTAGAACAATACGCGCTTATAACTTTTTTCTCAGAGTGGCCTTTCGCGGGAACTCTTTGAGCGATGGTGTCCTGACAAGAGAAATGGCCTTGTCATCGCAGGTTACTGTGTCGACGGAACTATGGCGAGGGTAATTATCAAATTTTCAAGGTTCTTGTGTCATCATTCATTTTACTTTACGTGCATTCTCATTTAATTCTTTGATCACAAGCATGTCATGAATGAACCACCCGAAATTACATCTTTGTCGGGTGCCAAGATTCCGTTACGTATGGAGGTTGACTACATATCTTTCTCTGCTCACGTTGACTACACTCAGAACAGTAAATTTATTGACGAGATCAAGGCTCCTCATGTGGTATGTATGTGCATCACTAACGATGATTGAAAACAGTACTCAATATATTCTCACTGAATAGGTGCTCGTTCACGGTGAATCCAATTCTATGGCTAGATTGAAATCTGCTCTACAGAGCAAGTATAACGAACGTGAGGAAAATATTAAGATCTATTCCCCAAAAAATTGTGAGACGGTAAAGTTGCATTTCAGGGGTGAAAAATTGGCAAAGGTAATCATTGGATGTTTCATCTTTAAGAAAATTAAATTTCCTATGTATTCATATCTGGCGCTCCATGTTGATTTAAGACGATAGGTAAACTCGCCGCCAAATACCCCATAGAGCAACAGCTCGTTTCCGGAATCATAGTATCCAAAGATTTTCAGTTCAACATCATGGACCCTGTTGATTTGAAAGACTTTAGTGGCATTTCTACGTCTGCGATAATTCAAAAGCAAACCATCGCGTACCATTCTTCCTTTTCCCTGTTAAAGTATCACTTGGAGCAAATGTATGGTCCACTCGAAGAGAATTTGGATAACGACAGCATTCCGACCATGACGGTATGACCCGACAACCTTGGTGATCTTTAGTTGTGTACTTCTTAATTATTATTATTTTTTTTTTTCTCTACGAAAGATACTGGATGCAATTAAGGTCAGGCATCTCAGCAAAAGCCAAGTTCAACTCGAATGGTTAGGAACCTCAATGAATGACAAGATCGCCGATTCCGTACTAGCGGTGTTATTGAACATCGAGAGTAGCCCGGCTTCGGTCAAAGGTGAGAATAAC